ACTCTAATACTATGATCCTTACCGCAGGAGCTGCTAGGAAGGAACCCGTACTTCTTGGAGACTTCAAACCCAAATCCTTATACCCTAGATTGTAAGATCCCATATATCCTCATAGAACCTCCTCTGTATATCCCTGTACTATATCCGGTTATAGCCCCTGCGTACGTCTATAGGGTCTTTATTTATACAACATGACTTCGCCAATAAACTGCACCTGAGGCCCGAAGCGTCAGCTGCCAAGGAAAATCAATCTGGGCGCCGTGGGCGGCTGCGAAAGCTGGTGAGCTGGGTCAGGGTTTACTGTTTAGGGTAGTTGTTATAGATACTGTCAGTATTGTGGCCATGCATACTGCTATTTGTATCATTGTTTTTGTTTTTTTCTGTTGCTCTTACCGTCATTATCATGATTCCCATTTTTACCAGGGTTGAGGCCTGGGGGTTGGAGCTACTTCAACAGTCTCATTTGGGCCATTCGCCCTTTCATGAAATGGCCTTAAAGGGGTTTTATGAAGGGGCTCCTCTAACTCCTATTACTATTGTCGCAACGGCTACAGCAAGGGGGAATGGCCTAAGGTATCATTATCATGGTTATGTTGTTGCCGTGATCCGTAGTTTGTAGTAGGGGTTTAGGAAGTAGAGGGGTAACATTCTTGTTGGTTTTTGTTACTATCACGAATATTGTTCATGCTTTCTTTTTGCGGGGTATATGTTTTACAGTTTGTCTTCATCCCTATTCTCATTCATAGCACTATCAGCAACACTTACCATTACTGTTTGTAATGTTATCGGTATGTCTCTTATTCTTGCTTTCGTGAGCTTTGCTAGTGCCATCTTACTGCCATTGTGGGGAGGTCTTTCAAAATTATGGGTCACTTAAAGGTTGGGGTTTAGGGTTTAGGGTTGGAATAGGAGGGGGTAATGTAGGGAGCCAGGTTTGTCAAATACTGTTCCTCTTTGTTTTCTAGCATTCTGATGGGCCCGTATTCTGAGATAAGACGCATAATTGGAAGAACTTCTTTTCGGAAATCATCAGCAAAATCCAGGACACAAGCCTAATTCAGAACAGAGTGGCCTCTAGAAATCAGGGTACAGGCTGAATGCTGAATAGAAGGATGCCCCATATCCAGGACACAACCATAAATCCAGAGTAGAATGATCTCCAAAGCCACCTGAAAATCAGAAAAGTTATATTCCTAGCTGTACCACAAAAGATTATGATAAATTCGGGGTTTGGGATTGGGAAGCAGAAGAATTTGTCGCTCCATTAGCAAACCCATACGCCCACCCTAAACCCTAAACCCTAAAGCGCGGATAAGAGCAGTGAAGAAGGCCGATCGTTTGACAGTCAACCAGCCAGCGGACAAAGCGATGCACCTTGACGAATCGCTTAGGAGCATGAAAGAGGTTGTAGGGTGTGTCTCATACATACAAGGCATATACCATCCCCCAAACTAACTTTGAACCTCATAAATTGCCGTGCCTTTTGAAAAGGATATTATTCCATGAAGGCGCCCTGCTCAGATTCCATGAGTGTTTGGGCAGGGTAAGCAGGTAGGGGCACATTTCATGTTTGCAATGAGGGGCAATTGGTTCTTCCGTTGCTTCACAATCATCTCGATGCTGCCTTTGGACAGTTTGCGGCCGAATGGTTATGCGAAAGCTGTACCAACAATTCATTGTCCCGTGAGGGTAGAGAATATTTGAGCTATCTAGGGAAGAGGCTCGACAAATTCCATACGGTTCGACAGCCGCCCTTAACGAAGCTCCAAGGAAGCTACCCGACACGTGCAGGGGAATTGCTTTTATTCGCGCATGGGTTCTCTTCGCAAGACTTCCCCTAGTGATTAAGATGCTTGGAAAATCACCGCATCGTCGGTCTAGGTCTGCACTACTGCAAAAATCTGAGGGCCTTCGAGGCTGCACACGCTTACCCCATTCAGATTTGGTGTGTGTGAGAGACTCTTGTCGTGCTTTGCTTAAACAAGCTTAAGAAGTTGAAATCGAGTTTACTGCGGTGATCCCAAAACTTACCTACTACGCGTTTTTCATTGTTTTCTGCACACTCCCCAAACCCTTGCATGGGAATTTCTTTGATAGGGGTGCCCATGGTGACTTAAGGGTTCTTTGGGGTGCCTACAACGTGAGCCATTGCCTGCAATGCTTCAAGCACAGAACGCTTTGTTCGCACTGAGCAGGGATTTGTGTTTTGAGTTTTGAATGCACGGCCGTGATTCATGAGAACCTTGTGACCCCTTGCAAGCCCTTAAGTTCGAAATCTTTGCTAAGGCTCCAGACTGCAGCACAAGACGAACCCCTTCCGCCACCGCCGCGGCGCAGCGCGCCGCCACGCCCACAGGCTCCGACCGAGTATGCTTTCTTCCCATAAGGTCCCTTTCAAGGTAATAGAGGGTTTATGCAGGGGCACCAAGAAGGTGCCCTGTTAACAGGGGTGCGTGAGTTATGTAGAGGTTTATAGTGTGTACGGCTGCTAAAGCTGTAGGAGTCACTCGGTGGGAATCCCCACAAAACAGGAATTCAGACATGTTACTCCCCTGTATATAACCCCGGGATCGTACCTACACTCCCTCTAACCGTAACCCTAAACCCTGAGCAAAACTTAAACCGTGCCAGAGCTCATGGAATGCGCAGCCGCTTGAGACAGCAAGCTTGAGATAGGCATGTAGGCATTGTGCACAAGTTATTGGTGCTTAAAGGGGAGTGGGCGAGTCAATATAGTTGCCATTATTCGATTTCAAGGGGTCAAAGGGGGCTGGCAGGATTTAGGGGTTTAATCAAATATACGCTATTATAGGGGGTTCGACATGGATTGTTCTCGGGATCCACTCCACCACTCCCCCTTAAAGCTCCAGAAAGGGTGTGTAGGCCGTTATGCCCATTGAGGTCGTGCATCGCGCGTTGGGCTTATGCAGGTGTTGTGGGCAGCATGTACCCAAAACCCTAAACTGCCCAGAACAGGTGGGCGGGCAGTGGTTTGTTGAAGGTCACATGTAGCAGCCTTCAGAGCTTCAAACCGCGTGGGAAGGTGGAGACGGATGAGTGGCTGGGGGGGCTGGGTTTCAGGGTTTAGGGTTGAACTCCAAACCCGATAAACCTTAAAGCGTGAGCCCTAAACCCTGGCAGTTGTCTGAGTGCTCCCTAGACCCTAAAAACTAAACGGTTGGGGTGGTTGAAGCCAAAGGAGGGAAGGGAGCTTTTTGGCTAGGATTTCTGGAGTATGGGTTGGGTACTGCCCTCACCCAGTAACAGTTGATATTAGGGGTCCTATTAAGGGCTATATATAACCCTTTTATACGTATTATCCAGCTGTTAGTGAGGGGGGCAGTACCCAAAGTATGGGCGAGGGATTTGGGAGCTAACATCAACTATCTGTGTTTGGTACTAGTGGAGCCTTTTTCATGAGGGTGTCGCGTGTTATAGTCATGGACGTTCTGTTGTAAGCCGAAGGTCTAGAGTTTGTGAGCCATTGAGCCCTAGCCCTAGCCATAGTTTTAGGAAAACATTCGAGGAAGGGCCCCCAGCTTCCCCCACCTTCAATCTCAATCAACCGGCCTCATGCGTAGATAAGCCCGAGCCAAACGCGGTCTTAGACCTTTTGCATATGTCAGTTTTCTGTAGTCTTATGTAGAACGGTCGGTAAATGGGGTCACGGGCGGTGATCAAGATTTATCATTGGGTAGGCCCCTGGGATGTTTAATATTTTCCCTAATGGCTTTAATAAGGGACCCCCTAAACCCTAAACCCTAAACCCTATATACTAATATCTTTCAAAGGGTTTTAGGGGCCAACCCAGATCAGTGTGCTGGTTCCCGGTAGGCCTCTGACATGGCATCCCTCGACCAAGACGATGAGACGGAGGATGAAGACATGCGCCTTGGATCAACTCCCCAGGGGTCACGGATAGGGAGGTAGCTGGTGCTTGAAACGAAACTATAATGTAGTAGTTTCCATTTTCTCTTCCATTATCCCTATATAAACCCTGTGTAAGGGAGGTAGGTGGTGCTTGAAACTGAAAATGCTATGGCCTTTGTCCCAAACTGTTGGACTCTTTGACTCTTTTCTCATAAGGGTCCTATGCACCCCCAACCCTAAACCAAAAGCTCTAAACCCCAAAACCCCATATATGCTTATATACCCGGCGCTCGAGTCACTGCCCTTGCTCGCGAAAGTCTCCATTTTCCTCCTGGAGCTCAAGGATACACGATTATTTCTGGGTTCAGGGTTTGGGGATGTTTGGGGTTTTAGGGTTTACGGTTTATTTGATGTATCCTGCTTCAGAGATTGGGATTTCCGAACACTGGGGATACCTTTTTCGGGCCTCCATAAGAAGGATTACAGTAATTTACTCATGGAAACTACCCTGCAGCTTGGAAGCACTGTTCCCAGGCTCGTTGTTTGCGATTTGCCAGAGTACCACAAGCAGAGGAGCTTCCTAAACCCTAAACCTTAAACAGTCGTTTCCATTTTCTTTTCCATTATCCCTATATAACCCCAATAAATTTATACCCCCAAGCCCTAAACCCTATAGAATCTCTAGATAACCCCTAATATAATATAAGCCCAAAAGTTTCCACTGGACGGCATCGTATGGCTCCAGGATCTCACGAGGATAGTAGGCGACACCCCTTGCCTCTCAAGTCCTCTTTCCACATGACGCGCTTCCTCTTTTCGCTTGCTGCCTTTGCTTTGGCCCCAGCCGCTGGGCTGGAAGCCGATCCCTTTGGCTGCCAGGATTCTGGGTTGCTGTTAAGGAACTTGAATTCAGTTACTATATTGGGGAAACCCTATTATTTACTAAATGAAACCCATTATGGTAACTTTATCTAAGTTCTTTAACAGCAACCCAGGATTCCTCCAGCTGTAAGCAAGGAACTTCCTTGTTGCAGCACGGTTCTCGCAAAGTCGCATCGTCCACAAACCGGCAGGTCGCGATTAGCAAGACGAACTTTGACTGGACGAAGCTTCGGCACGCCTACGACAGCATGCAGAGTATCGATGTGAACGGGCGCTTTTGCAACCTCTGTGGGACACCCTCTGAGGAGCGTGCGCCCGGAAGCACCTTCGTGGTGCGTAGCGACTGCGGCAACCACAGCATCTTCGAACACCCGGATAAGGCATTTCTACCTTTGAGCAGCTTCAAGAAGGAGGCCACAGCAGAACACAATGAGACCAATGCCTGGTGCGAGTTCAACCTTGAAAAAGGCTGCGCTGATGCTGTGTACAACAAGGACTACATGATGTACGCCAAGGGCGTCGAGCTCCCCAGCGCGCCCCTTTTTGGCTACTCGGTGAACTCCTTTGACCAGCACTACTGCTACCTCAATGGCTGGCTGGAACCTGAGATCAGGGCATTGCAGTTCGACTACGAGGGCATGACTGCCAAAGGCCAAGAGCTGTGCAAGTCAGATCACCTAGTCCAACTTGGCGCGAACGGAAACATAACCTTGGCAGACATGATGCTGCACTACTTGCCACATCTGCCCGGCACGCCTTTCAGCAACCCATCCATTGGCGACGCGCACTTCGTCGCAGCATGGACCTGTGCCATGGGCAGCCCAGCGTGCGACATGGCCTACTGTGCCTGGGTTGCTGTTAAGAAGCTTAAACTTAATCTAACTTACTAAAAGCTGGAAACCCTATCATACACTATGTACCCATATTGTGACATCTTAGTTTAAGTTCCTTTACAGCAACCCAGGTGCTTATACATTCTGCAGGAAGGCGGATGGCAGCTTTGGTACCTACGAAGAGTGTCCAGGCTGGGACCCTGTAAAGGGCATGCCGGTGCATGCGTAGGTTATATAGGGAGATTATAGGGATGTGATAGGGATATAGGGGTTATGCAGGGATATTATGGGGATATAGGGGCTATATATGGACATTCATAGGGATATAGGGGTTATACATGCCTGTGCATGCGTAGTGCAACCCTGCCCAGCAGAAGTGATGGCGATAGCGCGCAAGGCCTAAGTGCAGATGTCTGACGCTTGCAAGCTGGAGATTTCATGCTGACAAGTATTACTATCATTCATATTACCATTATTCCTAGGATTGCTATTCTTTCTATTGTTACTATAAACCCTAAACCTATTACTGTTATTCCTGCTATTATTACAAGAGTTACCTTTATTACCAGCTTGCAGCATGGTCGCAGCATCTCGCAGTCGGAGAAACGGCTTTTTGTCTGAGCAACTCGCGCGCACGTCCATGCAGACTCTTACTACTGAGGTTTGAGAGTTTAGGATTTAGGGTTTGAGAGTTTAGGGTTGAGGGTTGAGGGTTTGAGGGTTTGAGGGTTTAGGGTTTGAGGGTTTAGGGTTTAGCGTTCACCACTTATTCTACTGTAGTAGCGAATATTGGAACATGCTCTATAGGGATTATCTAGGGATGATATCCCTTTACTCCCTACTAAGAACCAGTAAGGAGTTGAAGCAAGACGCAATTGAGAGTACTTGTATCATGACGCCTGTTTGTAACTCTAAGATCAGATGTGAGAGACGGCATGTGCATTTGATGCTGGTTGCATGGCTTGGTAGGTATCATGTAATACAGGGTTTAGGGTTTAGGGATGTCACCACAATAAGAATTGAGAATGTGCGATAAAGAACATCATCATGGAAGATGGGAATTTATAGGGTTTCTGACCACAAGTTATAACCAGGTGATATCCCAAGGTCCCGTATGGTTACTATTCTAGACAACACTCGTGTTTTGTGATAAGCCTGCCTGCACCTTGTCTGAATTCCTTTGTTGTGACAGTCACCGTAAACCCTAAGCCCTGTACCCTAAACCCTAGACCCTAAGCCCAAGACCCTAAACCCTAAAACCTAGACCCTAAACCCTAAATCCTAGACCCTAAACCCTAAATCCCTAAATCCTCGACCTAAACCTTAAATCCTAGATCCTAAACCCTAAATCCTAGATCCTAAGCCCTAAATCCTAGATCCTAAACCCTAAATCCTAGACCTAAACCCTAAATCCTAGATCCTAAGCCCTAAATCCCTAAATCCCAGACCTAAACCCTAAATCCTAGATCCTAAACCCTAAATCCTAGATCCTAAGCCCTAAATCCTAGATCCTAAACCCTAAATCCTAGATCCTAAGCCCTAAATCCTAGATCCTAAGCCCTAAATCCTACATCCTAAACCCTAAATCCTAGATCCTAAACCCTAAATCCTAGATCACAAACCCTAAATCCTAGATCCTAAACCCTAAATCCTAGATCCTAAACCCTAA